ATCCTGCTGTTGGTATTGCCAGTACTAATATTGCTGTTGGTATTGCCATCCCTAATACTGCTGTTGGTATTGCCAGCCCTAATCCTGCTGTTGGTATTGCCAGCCCTAATCCTGCTGTTGGTATTGCCAGCCCTAATCCTGCTGTTGGTATTGCTTGACAACGGTACAAGAATCTGTATCGAAGCGTCGCACTCACGAAATAAAGAAGTTGTTATCCATAAAAACTTGTTCCATATTGTACGTCTCAACTTCTAAAATGCCACTCAAACAAGTTACTACTATCTTCACCAAATTTACATGTTCAGGGTGTCTTTGTCAAAAACACGATTACAATGTGTACGTTATGCACTGGACGAATGTTAGTCATATATTTAAAATAAGAAACCGTCATGCCTAAATGTTTCTAAAATGTGAATGGAAAATCAGCGTATCTGAAGTACAGAAGTACTAAGTATTTAGGCAGCAGCGGATAAAATTCATGTAGTTGGATCAAAATATTCAGTCATGGTTCTAAACCGACTATGGAGATTCTGAAACTCTGACGATTACAATGATAAATAGGTAGTAATACACTTAGGCTCAACAGCGTCACCAACAGCTCATATTTACAGATTTGAAGCGTTTTAGTGGAAGGTGTATCATACCGACAGACTCCTTGTTCAGCCTTCCATCACTGCCTTGGACTTGTTTATTTCTACATGTACCGCGTGCACTGTGAGTGGTTTGTAGTGAAATAGAGAACTTGTCAAGTTAACTGATCTACTGTTGCTACATTATTCCACATCGTGGATCTGTACCCTGTTCCCTCAATGCTCATGGTTTATTCATAAAGTCAAACAAAATTAAACGCTCGTTTGAAGTCCGCGAACACTCCTGATAAGTGGACGATGTGTATTCCACAAAAAGCTATAGCCTCGTCGGAAGCAATCGAGAAATCTAAATTCCTTGCAGAGCAGACGTACTTATCATCGACCTTCCCCCGAATAGACATACTTAACTGAACACGTTTCACTTGGCAGGAACCAACTCAAAAATGAAAAACATCTCCTCAAACAGACATCTAGCGCCGTCTCACGTCTTCAAGCGGCTATCAAGACATATGATTAGTCGCGAGACTAACACCACTGGAAAATATGGCGGCCACCGGAAGTTTTAACGCCTGTACCGACGCTTAGCCTTTGTGAAATGGCTTGTTACATAGTCCGGTCTCGCAAATGGCCGCTTGTATCGTGGTATGTACCAATTGGATGCCAAGAAAAAATAGAATGGTCACGTTTGGTGGACATAACGATATCCTTCAAAGGGGACGGTAGTATTTGATGTAGGCTAGACACTCTTGTCCGTCAGGTCAAGAGGAGCTTGTTAGTCCTTCCGCACAAGACCCGATTTTCCAGACGTGTCGACAGCAAGCTGAAAGTGTGGTCCTTGGGATGTAGGCCTCACAAATTGACTCTGTGTATAAATAATCCCAAAAATTTAGCCTTTTAGAATGTGTTTTTTCTGTGTTTTCCTTAGAGGGAGTATATACTACGTTAAAGCTTTCTCATTATCAATGACTGTCTGATCATCTTGGGAACTTGGTCGCGAGCTTTGATCCCATCAAATATTAAAGTATGTTTAACACTGGAGGCGAGTTTATTGATTGATTGATGGATTGGGTGTGTCATTATTGGTATTAGCAATATTGGGATACCAGAAATGGGGTTCACTTATTGTAGCTGTTGGTAGAATCGAACCAGGGTCTTAAAGCGAATGCTTTAACCTCTAGGCTATCCCGCGGGGTTGGATCAAATAGTTCGATGGTTTTGTAAGAGGGACATCTCATACAGTTGGTAGTCGAGCCTGCTGAACTAGATCTATCGTTATCTGGTTCCTGTTCCTGGGTACAAAAGGCCTTGATGTCGTAAAGAGGCAACTAAACTGGGGATTGTGTTGTGAAACTGCGGGGTACGGAGGTAACATTAACATATTTAGGTTATTGGTTCCTATGGAGCATAGTTGGATGTATTTGTTTGTTTCAATTCAACTTTTCGTTGTGTTCATTGTAATAATGCCTTCATTCCCGTTGGCTGAATTGGTCAATGAATGTAAGAAACTAAGCCACACCCACCAAACGGGAATACTTTCACCTGAACGGATAGTTGGAGAATCCCAGTCACAGGGGCTTGTCACGCAAAACACTGGCATCCCGGGATACATTGTCACTGACGGGGTCTCAGCACTATAAAAGAGGAAAGGGGAATAAGGATGTCATCGCACCAAGATAGTTTCAGGTCGAATTCAATCATACTTGCTACCAATAAAACTATACACGTACTTCAAGATTTACCTTAAAGTGAAACATATATTTCAAAACTCGAAACCTTACTTTGGGAATTAGAGTCGTCGTAAACTGGAATATCGTGATTTTTCGATTCCCTGCTCCAAATTTGTACAGCTAAGTTACCATTTTTTTATTTATTATATCGTGTACGACACGCACCAAAACATGCACAATGGATGGCACTTGTCAGCGAGCCAATCGCCATTCTTTCCGAGACACTTACACCTAACTGCCATGATAACTTTACGTACATTTATTCATCGCAAACAGTCCTGTGTCGTGCCGGTTCGCCATTGACGACCTTGGCCTTAACCTACCCTGCACTGAAAAACACCAGCGATCTGATTGGGCGCATGTTTTATTTATCAGATCACTATTTTGTTTTTGATGAAAACTGTTGTGGATATCATATTGTTTCGATGTCAAGGTTGACTATAAGGAGCTTCATGGAGGGTGTATGGAACGGATTCTTACAATAGTTGGCATATCATTTTTCCCCTATTTATACCTTTGTGAACAGAAAAATAACTCCTTTAGTGACACAAACATCCTAAAGGCGCCTTGCTGTATGGATCAGGAGCGGTGGGGAAGTGGTTAAAGCGTTCGCTTGTCGCGCCGAAGACACGGGTTCGATTCCCCATATGGGTGCATTGTGAGCCCATTTCTTGTTTTCCCCGCCCTGATATTGCTGGAATTTTTCTAAAAGCGGCTTAAAACCAAACTCGCTCACTCATTGTATGGATTGCATGTTACGGCATGATCACTGGATTGTATGGTCCAGACTCGATTAGTTACAGACCGCCGCCATATAGCTGGAATATTGCTGAGTGCGGCGTAAAACTAAACTCACTCACTCATGTTACGCCATACAAGACCAGAGTAGCTCCTAGAAACCAGTAACATGCACCCTCTATCAAGAGCCTGATGATCCGCTGACGCATATCCTCTAAATATCCGTAGAAGGAAACTGAAATCGTTTGGCCAGCGATCTTCAGCTTCAACAATTCTTATGAAAGAACTCTGGCTGCAAAATAACTTGAACCATCCTTTGGCTATTTCAAGGAACTGATTAAACGCAATCCGCCCTTTCTTGATAATGAATGTCACCTCGTTGCCCTTATTGCTATAATCTTTATTTAATATTGTTTTCCTCATAATATTCTGCAAGTGTAAAGTTGATTCACGATCTATTGAAACTATCGCTTGTAAATAAATGTACATATTGTAAATTTTGTAATTTCAGTAATGAAGCATTTCGAGCATTCATTTTAATATGACTTTAGCGCGTTATAAATACCTGTCATCATCATCATCATCATCAATAATCGTCAACACGACCTTAAACCCCATTTCCCCTCATGTGATCCACAAATCAAGCTTACGTTTTGTGAGTACAGTCATTTTACAAATATGTTAGAGTAGAACATAATGTTCACTATCAAAGAGCAGTATATTACATAAGAATCAAAAGTTACCAATCCGTGTTTATATAAGCCTACATTATAGCATGTGACAGTAACCATAGTTTCAGTGCTGTACATACAGTGAGCCAGACAAACTTACATTACGCTGCTAACTTACCATGGGATCCGTTTAATCAGAAAATCGTTTCACTTAACGTTTGATCACACTACTTTGGGCCACAATGGTCGTAGATCTAACGGTCGATGTAATCACGCTCTGTCAAACACGTCGTCGACAAGATGGCGCCATCACACGTCGCCAAGCCTTGACAAACTATTGTCCTAAAGACAGCTTTTTGTGAGTAAGGGTTCGAGAGGACCTGACATGAGTGATGTCATTCCGATCGACAAACGCACTAACGAGGGTTTGCTACAAATCAAGAGCTGGTCTAACGAGGAGAAGCTCTTTTGGTCACCTCTTTTAGTCGAAGGAGATTTATCCTGCCTCATGATTGTACCTGCTCGAGTTCGCATGAATGAAAGAAAAACGGCCCAACCAAACTTAAATTCCCATCCAGTGCCGATTTGGCGGCGGGTAAATGGTTCATTTGGGCAATCGTAAATTAAGAAATTTCTGCGAAAGAGCATAGTAGCGAAAGAATCCGTTTACACTGTCTGAATAATGATGTGATGGCTTTGAAACTAGTTTCAGGGGAAGCACTATTTGTACATGTCGTCTGCTGGGGATTGTTGATTGTAGATCTGCCGCGCGGGAAAGCGGAAACGAAAAGCACGTGCTGAGTTAACGAGCTTTTGACACCCCAGCGTGAGTTATTAGAAGCGGCGCGGTAACAGATGACCAAATGACCAGTTACTGATTTGAAAATCAAATGGTAACAAAGTCGCAACATGGTGAACGCCGTTTGACGGCTTGAATTAGTCTCGAAACTTCTTACTTGACTGGACAATAACTACATCAAGATAGAAATTGAGGGGTCGACGACCATTAAGTCTGGAAGGCGTGGACACAACGCTCTGGTTCGGAGGTCGTCGTTACCAAAGGAAGATAATTGGTCAATTATGGGCGTCATTATCTAAAGTGTCTGTGTCATCTTGATGCGCAACTCCAGATTCCTGGCGATTTAGGTAATATGTCACCGAGTGTTGCTTTGAGAACTTTTTACATCCGTGAAATGGATTTCTTTGGTGAATATAATGCAGAAAAAAATCAGCAAACTGATTCATTGTTATTTCTCTTTTTTTTTCATTTTTTGTTATACAAGCAATTATCGGAGACGATATACTGTGTCTGAGTGGGAAGCCATGTTGCATTGGTCGTCTCATCCACGTCACTATACACTTTTTTCAATAAAGTGAAATATGTATTGTCAAATTAGTTCAGACTGCTATTAATGCTGATTTGTGAATACATCTATCTTCCTCTTAATATATCTTTACGTAGGGGCCATAAAATGTTAGAGTCCGTGGTGGGATTCGAACCGCGGACCTTCCCTGGGATTCGGATGATGACATTTACAGTTATATACGTCTTTCATGACCTCCAAGGATAAAAAGAACATTTTCATTAGCGCTAAGAATATGAGTTAATATTTAGATGAACCCTTGAAATTCCAACATGCTTCTTCGCTCGAGAGAATATATTGTTCAGTTACACCAATGTTGGAGGTACATTGTGAGACGGCTTTGTGACGTCACTATGGAATCCTGCTCCCTCTGTCCTCAGTAATGGCCATGTCTGGAATGAAATAAGAAATGCCACTCTCCCTTGGATAAAGGTTAAATACTGTTTTATTGAAATACATTATTCATTCGAAAAATACTTGCGTTATGTAACTTACACAATACCACGATTCCCAGATCGTCAAAGACGGCGTGGGGCCATTAAATGCCAGAGTCCGTGATGAAGAACGGAACTTCTTATCCGAGATCGGGAGCCTTGTCAACATGACCAAAATAATTCATCACCTCAGCAGACGGGCAAGGATTTGAGAACACATGATAAACGTGAGAGAATATTTGAGGCACACTTTTATATCAATTTACGTACGTTTAAGTGAGTTAGTTTCAATTTTAGGAGGCATTGGAAATATTGCAGCCATATGCCGATGAAAACAAGTTATAATATTATTAAACACCTGTCGACAGATGAAGTAAAAAGTTACTAAAAACATATGGTATGGCAACCAACGCCAGACCACATCAACTGGGATTAAAGGGACTTTGGGTGGTTCTGCATCTGATTCCCAGCGGGGCAGTCGGGTAGCCTAGTTGATAAAGGGTTTGCTCATCATGCCGAAGACCTGGGTTCGATTCCGTACACTGGTATAATATAAAATTCTGAAGACTAATTTCTGGTGTACCCCGGCGCGATATACCTGGAATATTGCTAAAAGTAGCGTAAAACCATACTCACTCACAGCAGGATTGACGCCATCATTGTGATAATCAATGGCAGGGGCGGATACAGCTTTTTGAGAAAGGGGGGTGCACACTATTGAGAAAAGGAGGGGTGCACACTTCATTTTCACCCGAGTTTCAATGGTCATTTAACAAACTTTCAGCACATGGATGGTTGTGTGTGTAATGCAAACCAATATCAAAAGAAAACACTGTTTAGGAATTGAACACTAGTTGGTGTTATTTTCCATGATATAAATGGACTCACGTGCCTATGTCAGGAATACACGTTTGAGACCTCTTCTTAAGGATGAACCATATGTGTATATAATAACCATATTTCATACTCTGTGTGTTGTACATGTGAGTATGTTCGTTGGAAGAAATATTCCCTGGATAACTGGAATGAATGCTGACATATAAAATGAAATTGATGAGCCCGATATTCCTTAATTAAATTAAAAAAGACCAAAACAAACAATGATATCGAGAATACATAAATACAAGAATGTAAACACTGGGCGTGCAGTATTATGATCAACGCTATATTTTGCGGCAATTTACTGCGAAATGGACAGCCCCTCCAGGCAGAGAACCAACCGCACGTGAAAATCATGCATTTTCTCCAAGTCGGCATGAAGAAATCATTATCAGACGTGCAGACAGGCTTGTATAAACATCCTTGCGAAACCCGCCACCTGTCACCAGACCTTAATGACGGGGCAACTTATAATGCACGTGCAAATCATGCGATTTGCTAATATTTTCCCATGTCAATGTACATAGCTGCAAATGAACGAGCTTCCGCTCGCTCTCACGGACATGATTTACTTAAGCCCCTTTCAAACAATTTCATGATGCACGAGCGACGCTGCTTAAAGTATTTGATAAAGTTAAAGGTTTTCACCAATGATAATTTATCACCGAGTTTCGAGGAAGCTTGTACCGTTAGATATGATACTGGACCGACCTTAAAGTAATAATTAAGAATCTGAGACAGTTAATAGACTTTTCCAACGGCATTGTTCTTTTATGTATTTTAGTTCAGCTGTGTGGAAATTACTGAGTGGATAAATATAATTTAACTCCACCGTCAGCGATATTCAGTCTGTGACATGGCGGCTTGCCCACAATCGAGTCTCACCGAACCAAATCCGTGCCTGATCGATGATCAACGACCCTCGTCCTTCCTGTTAGTTCATCCTGTATCACATAATTGTCCTACAAGCTCAGAGTGAGTGAGTTTAGTTTTACGCCGCTTTTAGCAATATTCCAGCAATATCACGGCAAGGGACACCAGAAATGGGCTTCACACATTGTACCCATGTGGGGAATCGAACCCGGGTCTTCGGCGTGACGGGCGAACGCTTTAACCACGAGGTTACCCCACCGCCCCAAGAAGCTCAGAAGACTGTAACGGAAATGTATAGCAGGGTGGGTCCCAGGCATTCGGATGACGGTGGGATTCTTGAAGATTCAATGAGATGCCATTTACAAATTATACACGTCTGCCAAGATCCTTTGATTAAATAAATTAAATAAATATTTATATTAGCACCAAGAATATGAATTAATATTTTTGAAGACCCCTTAATATTCTAACCATCTTCTTCACGCGAGAGAATATATTTTTTCAGTCACGCCAATGTTGGAGGTACATTGTGAGACGGCTTTGTGACGTCACTATGGTATCCTGCGCTCTCTGTCCTCGGTAATGGCTGTGTCTAGTATGATATAGAAATGGCACTCTGCCTTGGATACGGTAAAATACAGTTTTATTGAAAGAGTTTATTCATTCGAAACATACTTGCCTTATGTGATTTACAAGATGCCACGATTCCAAAATCGTCAAAGACGGTGGAGTGTTTCACCCAGTCACAAAATCCCGTGCTCTATGTGCGATAGCCCGCTGTCGAACTGCACAAGCTTCACGTGCGGTAACCTCGCGGTCGTTTCACGTGCTTCACGAGCAATAACCACGCGATCGTCTCTCGCGTAACATTACAATCAGAAAGAGGCCATGGCTCATTTCCAGTTTGGTTTAGGAAGTGACGACAAATCTCCATCTCACTCACCAAAAACTTTGTCTCATGAGATTGATTTGCTTGGTCGGCCATTTTAGCGTCGTGCCAGAGTAAGTGAATGAGATTTTACGCCGCCTGGAAATATTCCAGGAGCATCACGTCGGGGGACACCAGAAAATTGTCTTATACCAATATAGGGAATCGAACCCGGGTCTTTGACGTGATGAGCGAAGGCTTTACCCACTAGGCCACCTCGCCGTCCTCTGTCGTACTGAAGGAAATCTGGACCAATACAAATGTACGGTGGGAAAAGGGTCCTGGGTGCACTTGAGCGGAAGGTCGCGGGTTCGATCCCCGACCGCGTCATTAATGGGTACAACAAGGACTGGTCGGCTCGGAGTCAGTATAATGTGTCTGGGTGGGGTATTCATGCTTCACTGCGGCATGGTATCTCAGTGGGCTAGCACGATAAAACCAGCTTAAGTCTGGGCTAGTACAAGCAGCCGCACATACACATGCATGCACGTCGTCATATGAGCGAAATATTCTCAAGCACGACGTTAAACCCCATTTCACCTCACCTCACCAATCTTAAACCTGGATCACATTTATCACGCCGTGCGATAAGTAGTCTACGATTTTCCGTACAATTTTTTGGCATCGTGGGTGACCGCCGGCTACGACGTATGTTTCACATTGTCTATAGGCATCGTGTGATTTCCTGTGGGACAGGCCGAGGCAAACCTGCATAGTACGGAGATCGGACCGAGGCCGCCCGGTGATCGTGCCGTAGCTGTGCGATGGCCGTGCGGATATCCCACGATCCTTCAGTTCCAAAACATCGTGCGGTGCCCGTGCAGTGCCAAGTCGATGCCTCCTACAGGCAACGGGACCGGGCTTACGTTTTTTTTAATTTTGTCGAACTTCGCTGTTTAACAAAATCGTAGAGCGGCAACCGCGCGGAATTGGAACTACGGGCAGTTTACGGGCGCCGTAGACCCGTCGCACGCCACATGTGAACCAGGCATTAGCGCTAGGGTGATCGTAACTCCCATACCTTAACACAGACTTACGACAGTCGTAGCGCTAAGGTGATCGTAACTCCCATACTTTAAGATAGACTTACGACAGTCGTAGCGCTAAGGTGATCGTAACTCCCATACTTTAACATAGACTTACGACAGTCGTAGCGCTAAGGTGATCGTAGCTCCCATACTTTAACATAGACTTACGACAGTCGTAGCGCTAGGGTGATCGTAACTCCCATACTTTAACACTGACTTACAACAGTCGTAGCGCTAGGGTGATCGTAACTCCCATACTTTAACATATAGACTTACGACAGTCGTAGCGCTAGGGTGATCGTAACTCCCATACTTTAACACTGACTTACAACAGTCGTAGCGCTAAGGTGATCGTAACTCCCATACTTTAACACTGACTTACGACAGTCGTAGCGCTAGGGTGATCGTAACTCCCATACTTTAACACTGACTTACGACAGTCGTAGCGCTAAGGTGATCGTAACTCCCATACTTTAACATAGACTTACGACAGTCGTAGCGCTAAGGTGATCGTAACTCCCATACTTTAACACTGACTTACGACAGTCGTAGCGCTAAGGTGATCGTAACTCCCATACTTTAACATAGACTTACGACAGTCGTAGCGCTAGGGTGATCGTAACTCCCATACTTTAACACTAGACTTACGACAGTCGTAGCGCTAGGGTGATCGTAACTCCCATACTTTAACACTGACTTACAACAGTCGTAGCGCTAGGGTGATCGTAACTCCCATACTTTAACATAGACTTACGACAGTCGTAGCGCTAAGGTGATCGTAACTCCCATACTTTAACATAGACTTACGACAGTCGTAGCGCTAGGGTGATCGTAACTCCCATACTTTAACATAGACTTACGACAGTCGTAGCGCTAGGGTGATCGTAACTCCCATACTTTAACATAGACTTACGACAGTCGTAGCGCTAGGGTGATCGTAACTCCCATACTTTAACATAGACTTACGACAGTCGTAGCGCTAGGGTGATCGTAACTCCCATACTTTAACAAAGACTTACGACAGTCGTAGCGCTAGGGTGATCGTAACTCCCATACTTTAACATAGACTTACGACAGTCGTAGCGCTAGGGTGATCGTAACTCCCATACTTTAACATAGACTTACGACAGTCGTAGCGCTAAGGTGATCGTAACTCCCATACTTTAACATAGACTTACGACAGTCGTAGCGCTAAGGTGATCGTAACTCCCATACTTTAACATAGACTTACAACAGTCGTAGCGCTAAGGTGATCGTAACTCCCATACTTTAACATAGACTTACGACAGTCGTAGCGCTAAGGTGATCGTAACTCCCATACTTTAACATAGACTTACGACAGTCGTAGCGCTAAGGTGATCGTAACTCCCATACTTTAACATAGACTTACGACAGTCGTAGCGCTAGGGTGATCGTAACTCCCATACTTTAACATAGACTTACGACAGTCGTAGCGCTAGGGTGATCGTAACTCCCATACTTTAACATAGACTTACGACAGTCGTAGCGCTAAGTTTGTTTTGTATTACGACACCAAGGTATTTATGATTATAGAATGGAGATATAATACGCTCGACGCTCGAGCATATCACTTAGTTTACATCAGGGAAGATTTCCGTGTTAAAAAACTATAATAACACAAATGTATGTTGTATTCTAGCAGACATCTATATAAAGGACAGAAACGGTAGATTTAGCTTCATTTAGCTGTGGACTCCAGGTGATAGTGACACTTCATCTGAAACCTCTGTGTGAGAGCTAGTATCTACCCCTTGAACAAGATAATGAAACAGACGATAATTGAGACCCCATTTGGATCGATCCTAAGAAATGGACCAACATTACTATTCGCAGGCTAAAGGATATCCTAAATCCCTTTACTTAACGTGGATGATTGTGTGATCTATTGCGGAGAAAACAAGGCAGATAGACCTAACCCTTCTACAGAAAAGTTTGCTCGCACGTTCCAACCCAACAAGTCGTTCAACAGGCCAGAGCACTTCTTCAGATGCAGGAGAACGGGGAAACTGAAGCCAAAATACCGACTTCCCAGAGGCTCGTGCACAAAGAAACGAAGACGTTTTTGTGATGCGCATTAGTAGACAGGTTCTTGCCATTTAGACTGACCACTATGCAGTCCAAGCAACGTACGTCCCGTGTGCTAATAGATTGCCTTCAGAAGGGGATGGCTAGACATCTCAGGAACTGGGGCTTACAGACGAGCAATGCAGCTGCTACCTACCACCAATGCAATTGTTACTGAGCAATTCACTACAACTTACCCACCACCACTCTCTCATCTGATTGAGCACCACTATTAACTACATCTACCTACCTACCCACCACTCATTATTTAGAGATGATGACGCCTCACCTACCACCGCTAGGATGCAAACTTACTGTGCAAACCATATGTGGGTAGCTTTGGAAGAATGTAGACTCATAGCACTCCCTTCACTATGATTGTCTCAGGGCCGCACCTCCTGTGGAAAACGTACTCATGCAGTGAAATAGATCTCCTAGAACGCATGAACATTAAACCCTTTATCCTGGAACGTATTATTTGGTATTCTTGCTAAACGATGGCAGCCCTTTGCATAAATAATTCATTCAAACCCATGTTTATCCCTATGGAATTCCCCATCAAGGCATTCCTTCCGATCTCGAAAAGGATGCGTTCTGGACCCCATGTGGTGAAATGTGGGTGATCCTCGACGACTTAATGTCAGATATGCGAGCAGCAGATCCATCTAATATAGAACTGTTTACGAAGCAAGCCATCAATGTAATCTCCCCAGTGGATAGCCTTGAACCAGAATTCCCAGGGTCATCTGCAAGGATCCTACAACGTAAAGAAACTGCCATTATCATCTGCCTTTCCTGTTCAACAACCCTATCGATCTAACAACCCATCACATGACTTTAAGGAGGCAAATGTATCCAGGTAAATATTAGACCGCTCCCATGGAGCCGTTCTAAAGGGCCACATCCAGAAAACCATATGGGTTACCTTCATTGGCTGATCTAAAACCCCAAACACCTCCCCACTTCCATAGACTCTGCATTCCAATGCATCTGCTAGTTTAAAAAGGAGACAACCAAGCTTAGGACCATTCAGAGTCCGAGGAGTTAGACCTCTGCAAGGAGTAGACGTGTGAAGAAAACCCTCCCAAATCATGCCATCCTAGGATGACTGTGGACCTTAAGCGTTTCAAGACATGCATGATTTGGTAAAACACAGGAAGAAACTGGTGTCCTAAAAGTCCTTCCAGTGGTCCAATCTCTGAAGCCACCTCCAAGCAAAGCAAGGGAAGAGGGAGGAAGACGACAACTTCTCTCCTGTGAAGGCACGCGGTTACACTCATTGATTGTGGACTATTGGTGGCCAAGGTTTAGCAATAACTAATAACCCCATAAAGACATTTATAACGATAAACAATGTCCCCAAATGGAAAATGATGATGATGATGATGATGAATCATTAAACGAAGTCGCACAAAACAACAGGAAAAAAAGATGGCTGATCTCGAAGAGCACAAGGTATAAGATAAAATGTATTCACGTACACACGGAGCTGAATAAAGACTTTTGATGAGAAACGACAACTGTACATGAAAAGAGGT